CGAGTAATAGCCCTACGTCCAGTCGGCGTTAGCCCTTACGTTGGATTGATTGTGTCGTAAAAGTCATGATCCTCCAGTCAATTGTGACCTGACCTCCGATCTAGGATTCTTGCCCTCCTTTATATAGTCCAGGAGGCAAGAGTCCTAGTCGGTTTACAATGTAGAAGTCCTATTAGGATTACAGGGTAGCACTACTACTAGGATTATATGGGAGGAATCCTAATCAAACTAGATCTTCTTTTTTCCTTGCGAGGTACCCCATGGGTCCTGCATCGACAAGCCCTCGAGCATTTCATGGTTGAACTCGAAAGCCTCCTTGTTTCCTAGGCTTTGCCTGGTGAATCAAGCTTGGTCCGGGTTCTTTCGACGTGAAGCCTTGAAGTGGTCTGTCTTGAAGAAGTCTTCTTGGTGACGTGCGCTTTTTCGAAGAAAAAAGTGCACTCACTGAGTGTAGCCCCCGAGCCTCTTGCTATTTGGAACAAAAAGTTAGAGGGTCTTGAATCATTATCGTTGGAAAAACTGAAAATTTCTTCTAAGGATATGTACCCTGCAGCCCCAGAGCATATATCCGGGTTCTTTTGATTCAAAAAGAAGTCGGATATAGGATCTTTTGTCATATTCTCAAGTAGCCTGCTTTCTGTTTGAGGATGCCGTGCCTCTTCCTTTGTTTTCGCTTGAGTAATGAAAGCACATATAAACATGCACGTGCATCCTCATATTTGTGCTCATCTTGCTGATGCAATAAATCTTCTCCATGTAAGTCAGCCTCAATAGTCCGTCGTTCGACCATGATCCGATCCGAGTAAGGCAACCTGGATAATCCGTCAAAAGGCTTCGGGTGGGCAGTCCCCTCACCGGAGACCCCGTATCACCCCCACCTTAGAATTTACAAATCACCGCAACAAGGTCGACCTTAGCTGTCGAGTAGTTGGAGATATTTCGAGTAGTGTTTGGCGCTTAGCCCTCGAGTTCGGGAACTAGTTTGTATGCTTGGCATCCTGGAGCGGCGTCGTCAAAGTTTGATCTGAAAGAAAAGATGCATACATTATGTAGCATATTTGTAGGATGTTGAAACTACTGAAATTTATTCAGTGATTAATATAAACATTTTGTGTCATGCTCTTATTTTGGCCACATCTCTCCCGAGTAGTTAGCCTGTTATGTTTAGGCTCTTAGTCCCCGTTTAGCCGTAGCCACTGCGTGTGTGAGATCTTTGTCTCGTATACGCGTACGGGCCCTGCCATTTGCATAGCTGAGAACTTTGTCTCGTGTATGTGTGCCGGCACTTAGGCGTAATAGGTGCACCTGAGGCTTTCACGAATTAAGGCATGTTCAACTCAAGGAGATTAGTGACTTTAAGAGAAGACAAAAATGAGTAGTCGTCGTTGCAACAAAAAGAGAGCGCGATTGTGCGCAAGAGTTTGCTGCCCTCCGACGAGTAGAGCGCGTGTTGTGCGCATCGGTCAATTATGCTGAAACAAGCCAGAGAAAAAATAATTTTAAAAAGTGACTTAGCTTGATTCGTGGATGATTATCGACGAAGCCGTGGCGGTCGTTGATGAAGCCGACTAGTCGGAGCCGATTCCGACTAGTTGTCGATCACGTGGAATCCGCCCTCGACTAGTTTTCTAGACGAGAGGAGTAGTCAAAGTTGTCGCCGATGAAGCCAACTAGTCAGAGTCGATTCCGACTAGCTGTCGATGGTGTGGGGCCCGCCCCCGACTAGTTTTCTAGTCGAGATGAGTAGTCGAGGTAGTCGTCGGCGGGTCGCAGAGGCACAGTCGGATGGCTTGATGCAGTCGGACAGCTTGCTTTCGGCTTAGACGGCTCACCACCGGCTCAGTCGACTCGCTGGCGGCTGTTGATCTCGTACATGTTGGAGTCGTCTTGCTTGAGCCCTTGTTTAGTTCCACCTCAAAATTCCAAAAAGTGCTACAGTACCTGTCACATCGAATGTTTGCGGCCCGTGCATGGAGCATTAAATGTAGACGAAAAAAAACTAATTACACAGTTTGGTGGGAAATTGCGAGATGAACGTTTTGAGCCTAATTAGTCTATGATTGAACACTATTTGCCAAATAAAAACGAACGTGCTACAGTAGCTCCAAAATCCAACTTTCAGGAACTAAACGCGCGCTGAAATCGACTTGCATGTAGATGGCTCGGTTCGTACGCCAAGACTTGCTGTAGCATTGGCATGCTTGATGGATGCGTACAACATGCAAGTGCCTCTCCATGACTTGCTGTAGTAGTCGGCTTGGACAATTACTCGGCACCGGATTCCGACTAGCGGTGCAAGCACTTTCGTGATGTCGAACTCATGTAGAAGTAGGACTCCCACAAAGACGCGTATTATGTTGCGGCTTTATGTCGAAACTCGTGCGGTACATCGCGTTGCTAGAGAAAGGCAACAACAACCGACGCGATGTGACCGTGTGTCGCGTGTCCGAATCGACGTCGAGCTCTCTTGGATGAAATCGCTATGGGCTGTCTCGTGACCGAGTTGATGTCGAATTGAAGTAATTGACGAGTTGACCATGTAGGACGACGGGGATCTGCGTGGGGAAACCGAGCTGCCGCGGACGGCACAAGAGATGCACGTTGATCCCGCCGGAAAAATCATGTTGTTGGGGTCTGTCGAGCTCTCGGATGTAAATTTGCCGAAAGTCCCTACCTGGCGCGCCAGCTGTCGATGTTTGACCACCAATAGCCTGCCACGGGGGTACCCGGGGCAGTATGTTCGGGCTTCAATGTATGCGAAACTCGACGGTAAACACAAGAGACAGTCGATTTATCCTGGTTCGGGCCCTCGATCGTTGATCGAGTAATAGCCCTACGTTCAGTCGGTGTTAGCCCTTAAGTTGAATTGATTGTGTCGTAAAAGTCATGATCCTCCAGTCAATTGTGACCTGACCTCCGATCTAAGATTCTTGCCCTCCTTTATATAGTTCAGGAGGCAAGAGTTCTAGTCGTTTTATAATGTAGAAGTCCTATTAGGATTACAGGGTAGCACTACTACTAGGATTGCATGGGAGGAATCCTAATCAAACTAGATCTTCTCTTTTCCTTGCGGGGTATCCTCGTAGGTCCCGCACCGACAGCGACTTATCTCTGCAGTCGGCGCATCGGAGACGTTCCTCGTGATCCAACGGTGACCCCAACTAAACTCATCTAGCAGGCCGTTCCAAAGGGCCCATCTCATTAAACATCGTGACTTTTCGTCTTCTCTCTTTCCCTCCGCCATTGTCTCCCACGTCATTGATGAGCCCGATGTCGACATGCGATCTCTCTCTCTATCCTCACCACGGTGCTCTGGCTCCAAAGATCGCCCTCCCTCACCTCGTCAGCCGCCTCGAGGATTCAATGTTTCCAAAGAATGACACTTTATCGCAACTTGTTGAGGGTGGTTTGGTTGCCTTTATGTGGCTTTGTAGGCGCCGACGCCGGCCGAAAGCGCGACTCAACCGTGGCCCGCCATGCGTGCTCGGTATGCCGCTAGCTTGATGACGTCATCATGACATAATGACTATGTCATATACTCTCTTTTCCCTTGAAAATAATTTCTAAAATATATAAATACATCTACTCATCCTCTTATAATGGCACAAGCACAGCTAGCAACAAACGTGAATGTAGATCCCCGCCCCCCACCACTGCAGCCTCCTGGAGCTTTGAGCTCGGGTTGTGGAGAGCTTGTCAATGCGTATCTTTGTGGCACTGGGGCGAAAGCGTTCGCCAAGACATCGACAAACGACGCTATGGCCAAAAAATCCATCGACCCCTGGTGTCCTCGCCGCCGTTCGGAGACTTTGGAGCTCCGCCCACGACGCACACTAGCGAGGCATGCAGATGACCGCGCCGAGCGCGCACAAAGGACTCGAGGAACGGGTCGTCGTCTTCCCCACGCATATCGCTGCCCCGCGTGCCCTAGCGGCCACCCATTTCATGCAGCGCGCACTCTTCATAAAGGGCCGGCTGAAAACGAGGAAGATGAAGGCGAAGTCGTCTTGGGCTGAGATGGACCGAGTGCTGTCTGTGCTTATCCAAGTTTTGAAGCCTTACCGTTGGATGAAAAATGGATGGGAGAGATCTGTGACGGTAGAAAACAGTCCAGGCCGACGCGTGGGAGTGGAACTCGATGGCTGCTGCACTGGAGGTCCTCCTAAATGTGGCTGTCGACGTCACCTATCTCTATCCGTATCCGCACTCTGAGTCCGATGAGGGTAGGGTATTATTCCCTATCCCAATATCAAGGAGGGGTTTCCCTATCCCAATCCTTATTTTCCACCGACCAAAATCACCTAACGCCTTGTTGAGTTCCTCTAAAATTTACTCCCTGTTCCATTGAATATTTAGGCCAAGTATTAAATATAGACTAAAAAATAACTAATTACAAAGTTTACGATTAATTTGCGAGACGAATCTTTTAAGCCTAATTAGTTCATAGTTTGATAATGTTGTGCTACAGTAACACATGTGCTAATGATGGATTAGTTAGGCTTAATAAATTCGTCTCGCGGATTACCGACAAATTCTGTAATTTGTTTTTTATTAGTATCTGAACAGCCATGTGACATCAACATCATATGTTTATACCTGGATTTAAAAAAGACATAATTATATTGTATTTTATTTTTATTTATCATTGTATTCTTGTGTAGGCTCCCCCTCTCCTCTGTGTCTCCTGCACCGCCCGCCGCGCCGAGCACGCCTCTCCACCCTCCTTCCCCCCTTTCCTCCCCCTCTCCCTCCCTCTCCCTGCCTCGATCCAGATCCACCCCATACCTGCGCCACGCCACCCCTCTCCCTCCTCTCCGCTCCTCCCAGGCGGCGTCGGCGCGGGCCGGAGATCCCTTTCTCTCCCTCCGTTTTCTCCGGTAAGAAAGATCCTTGCGTGATTTGCTCTGCTATTGCGATCCCTCCAAGATCAAATCTTTCTTGAGTGCGTACACTCTATTTCCGATTTGTTTGACGCTCACACTCCCCTGGTAGGCGCATATATGGGTTCGAAATCCGTAGACGAGGTGCTCGATGCCGCCGCCGCCGGAGTCCATTACTCCGCACTCCGTCTGGACGGCCTCAACACCCAGGTTTCCGCCGCATCGTACGAGGAACAACCAAATGAACCAACGACGTCTGGCCTCGAGAATGGCCACCAGGAGCCCTTTGTTATTGGTCAGTATATATACTTATACTTGATTGATTGATGCGATGGACTCTCTCTCTCCCTATCTTTTTTTCTGCGCCTAGCCTAATAATAATTTAGTAGGATGTATGCCAATTGATGAGTATAGTATGGCGTAGCCTGTTGGCCATGAATGCGGCATGCCCTAATGCGGTTCTGGGTGCAGGTGTTGCTGGGGGTGCATCGTCAGGCAAAAGTACCGTGTGCAAGATGATCATTGATCAGCTCCGGGACCAGCGTGTTGTGGTTGTTACGCAGGTTTGTGCATTACTGCTTTGGTCTCATCTTGCAGCATATGTGCATTCTACCAACTTACTTGTTCAACATTACTGACCAAAACAGCATGGTACTGCATTGGTAGGCACCAAACTATGCCCTCTTCATGCTAGATTATCACATTGCCATGTCACACTGTTTCCGGTCTCTTATAGCTACAAGCAATGAGATTGCAATATTTGCAGGAGTCCTTTTATTATGGATTGACGGATGAAGAATTAGTCCATGTCCATGATTATAACTTTGATCATCCAGGTCAAACTCATCCTTCCACAAGAATTATATATATACTGTCCTACTAGTCCCTAGAGTTCTGCACTGAATATGCTGTTGTATCTTTTCCTATTTCAGATGCATTTCATACAGAGCTACTTCTCTCTTGTATGCAAAACTTGAAACGTGGCAAAGCTGTCGACATCCCTAATTACAACTTCAAGACATACAAGAGTGTCCCAAATGCAAGGAAGGTAATATTTTAAGTTCAGTGCAATTCATAATAATCAACCTGCATGGTAAACTGATCGTTCCTTAGTCCTGGGCTTTATGAGACTCTGAATACAACATTACATTTTTATAAACAATATGTGCACATTGTCCTGAAGAAGTTACATTGCTTTCATGCATTGTATGGTCCCAGTAATAACCTGCTCCAGATTTTTTTTTTTGCAAAAAACTATAATTTATGTTAAGTACCGGACACACTATTTGCTATTTGGGCAACAGCTTATTTCTTCACATTGATTTCATATTGTACATTTTTTTCAAAACGAAAAAAGTTTGTTTTCTGATGATTTGTTTATGTTATTTATTCATCTATGTAATACTTGATTTTTACAAGCAACCCTAATTTAAAACTGTCACCAGGTTAATCCTTCGGATGTTATTATTTTGGAAGGAATTCTAGTTTTTCATGATTCGCGCCTCAGGGATCTGATGAACATGAAAATCTTCGTTGATACAGGTACCAATATTTGCTTATAAGTTGATGATGCTTTCTTCTGTCTCTTGCCTGTCGATATTCCAGAAGTTCCCAATGCACAAGCATTGATTCCTGGCTATTTTCTGAACTTGAAATGTATCATTGTTAATAATTTCCTGCCCTCTTTTTATCCAAAACTTAATTCTATGAATCCTTTCATGCATAAGTTCATTTGTGTGGATACTTATATTTTGAGTAATTCATGTTAACTTGATGCACAATCTTACTGAGCTGACATAGCATTAAAGATTTTTCTTTTGTCCAGAATTCTCAGATTTTTTTAATGCACAAACTGCATATTTTGTGTTAGATCAGGTTACTTATTTGTTAAAGATATCATCAAAGATTACTTAAATTATCAATCCAGATCTACTGATTGGTTATCATAGCTTTTTGCTTCCGTACCATATGTTGAACAGTACTCTGTCAGAGTAGCCTATAGGCTTTCAAAACTCACTAATCAGTGTCATGGTAGTTAAGTATTTCTTGTTATAACACTCACTTATTGATTTCTCAGATGCTGACGTACGGTTAACAAGGAGGATCCGTCGTGATACCATTGACAAGGGTAGAGATATCAAAGCTGTGTTAGATCAGGTTACAAAGTTTCCTCTATTGCAATTTTTGTTGTGCATCAAATCTAACAACATTTAGCAGATCTTGATTGTATAGTACTTTTATCTAATATAATATTCTTGTCTTGTTGCATAATTTACATTAAGCTTTCTGTTATCTACACATTCTTGCCGTTTTTGGCTAATAAAATTCTTTTCCACAGTACTCAAAATTTGTTAAGCCTGCTTTTGAAGACTTCATCCTCCCAACGAAGAAGTATGCTGATATTATCATCCCACGAGGTGGAGACAATGATGTGGCAATTGACCTAATTGTTCAACATATTCGGACTAAACTTGGACAACATGATCTTTGTAAAATACACCCCAATTTGTACGTAATTCAGACTACTTATCAGGTACCTAATGTAAACATTCATTTTTATTTTTATAAATCTGCTTGCTGTTTGATGTCCCTGTAGTTTGTATGTACTCCCTCCATTCCAAATTGTAAGCTGTTTTGGCTTTTCTAGTCATAGCATATATCTAGGTACATTAACAAGTACTATGTACCTAGAAAAGCCAAAATGACTACAATTTGGATTTTGGAACGGAGGCAGTAATATGCAATTCTGTAATGGTTATTTACTGTTTTGTATAACTATTTCATTGTTCATGCTGTTTTGTTTCAGATACGAGGCATGCACACAATAATAAGGGATGCTGCCACAGCAACACATGATTTCATATTTTATGCTGATCGGTTGATTCGATTGGTCAGTATATAAATGTATTTGATGAGTTATCTTTTATGTGGGTTTGCATGGTATCTTAAAACTCCCTGTGGAAAATAGGTTGTCGAACATGGTCTTGGTCATCTTCCTTTCCAGGAAAAGCAGGTCATCACTCCGACTGGTAAGCAGGTCCTCTGTTATATAGTTCCCTGTTTTCTTCGTGCATATAAGTTTTCTCTTCAAATGAATCCTGACAACAGCATGCTCTATCATCCTACTCGTATTTGGTATTCATCCTTGTTAGCTAATTCATTAGCTTGCACATGAGCAAAAAAACAATAACCATTTGCTTAGGATATCTAGCTTAATATTCAAAGTTAGATCGAAAGGCTTGAACAATAGTTTTACTGGTCCAGGTAACGAGGTTGGTATGGCCAGAATACCAGCATAGTTTTTCCTTGTCTGACACACTAATTTGTACAGATGATCAGGCAAATTCTGTGCTAAAGTGTGAATTAGACTTGCTAGTGGTGTGGCCAGAATACCAGGATAGTTTTTCCTTGACTGACATGCACTAATTTATACAGATGATCAGGCAAATTCTGTGCTGAAGTGTGAATTAGACTTGCTAGTTGCTACAATGATTTGTCTCGCACTCACTTGTTTAGTGTTGCTTGCTTACTCGGAAATCTCTGGTTTAGAGTCATAGGAAAACTTTGGCACGGTTGGTACAAATAGAAAAAGGTGTTTGTTGTTTCCTGTGGGACATTGGTTTATCTCCCTCCACGGTCCATAATTTTGCTCTCTAGTATTTGGTGGAGTTACATGTCTTTGTATTCTCTGTGGTCAGTACTTTATGTTTCCCTGGCACACTTTATTATGTATGCAGGATCTGTTTACACTGGTGTGGAGTTCTCCAAAAGGTTGTGTGGTATCTCAGTGATCAGGAGGTACCAACTTTTCCTAAACTTCTTTCCTTTGTATGCTTGTTTAGGTTCTAACCAAGTTAATGATTTAGGCACTCACAAAAGGAGGAAAAAATGGGCTTTGTATAGTATAACTATAACAGTGATATCATTATGTTGATAATACTATGCCCTAGACTGCCTATGAATTATTTTTTGCTGCATTGGCAACAAATGCTCTACACTTGGCCATATTGAGAACTTCATTACCAGTCTCATTTATCTTTGCTATATGATATTGTTCATTGCTCTTACAGATACAGTATGGCTGTTTTATCTATAAACATGCACTATTGAACCACTCATGCACTAGAATTCAATTCATCACTAGAACATCTATATGATTAAAAAACACCCACCATATATCCTTGAATAAAAGTGTACTCTGCAAATGATTTGCTACAACTGCTTTCCAGTGGCGAAAGCATGGAGAATGCACTACGGGCATGCTGTAAAGGTATAAAGATTGGGAAGATTCTTATTCATCGGGAAGGAGACAATGGACAACAGGTCTGGTTTATGAACTTTTGCCATGTGTTAGGGTGAGTCAAATACTAAAATCTAAATTTCTTTGCAGCTCATCTATCAAAATTTACCAAAAGATATTGCAAATAGGCATGTTCTGCTGTTGGATCCCATATTGGGAACAGGTTCGTTTTTTATTCCTGTTCTCTGGACGGCACCACTTTTCATGTCAATTAAATCTCATAAAAATTTCAAATCACTCTTCCATGCACATGAGTACCGTCTTGTCTGATTACATAAGCAAAATAGCAGTGCACTAGAAGTTTCTTGTTTTATTAAGGTAAACTTTGTATTGATTAGCAAATCATAGGTTTTATGCCACTTCATCTATAGACGGGATGGTTTTCAATGTAAATCAGTAAATGTCATCCCCTATATGTTTTCCATATATTGAGCTGAATAAATTTGAATACTTTTAAGACCCCAACATAGATTTGTGAAAGTCCGGGTATTTTGGCATCATTAATAAAAACAGATTTATTGAAATTTTGTGTGTTCTCTGTAATTTTGTTATAGGTTAAGTATGGTTTGCCTCATTCAGAGGGAACATGCTTTACTATTTTTATTTTATATTTCTTGTTATCTAACTTAATCTCCATTTTATCCTGATCAGGAAATTCAGCAGTTCAAGCCATCTCCCTTCTATTGAAGAAGGGTGTACAGGAAGCAAATATTATATTCCTTAATCTTATTTCAGTAAGTCTTATGAAGTGCTGGGCATTTTCTTGATTTTGCAAATGTATATAGCTAGTCTTTGGAATTTGTAGGATTGAAATATCATTTTTGCTATTCCCTAATGCAGTACCATGGTTTATTGGAATATATCTTTTAGCTTGGTTGTCTTCTAGCTTTTTCATCGAAACTGTCCATTGTAACTAATATCACAGAAGCAATTTTGTAACTTCATCTACTACTTAAATTGTTGTACATGATGGCATGTTAGTGCATAGTGGATGGAAATCTAACTCATCAGTGGTATCTTTTTGCTCTCTTACAGGCGCCCCAAGGAGTGCATGTGGTGAGCAAGAGATTCCCTAGAGTGAAGATCGTTACCTCGGAGATTGAGTTTGGTCTAAATGATGATTTCCGTGTCGTACCTGGGATGGGCGAATTTGGAGACAGATACTTTGGAACAGATGATTATCAGTCATCGACGCCATTCTTCTGTGACAATAAAAATCATGTCAGGTGGGTTTCTATTTACTTTGCTACTAGCATGGCTTATTCCATTCAATTTTTTGCTGCTTAACTGTGGTTGAAACTGCGCAGGCTCTTGTGAGAGTTTGTCAAGACAACATCAAGCCATGGCTGCGGCATATTCTCCAATTTTTGAGAAACTTATATCTGCATTTTAGACTCTAGAATGCACATATAATGATGTTTTCTTTACCAAACACTGTACCATGGAACATACAAACAGAACCCCTCTTGATATAAGTGGATCCATTCCATTTTTGTCTGTTTCGAAAGCAGTGTCTTGTTCAGCCATTTTGGGACTACAACGTGTCCTGTTCAGCAGCCTCTAGAACGACTGTTTTTTCCTTCATCTAATAGATTAGGAAAAAAAGGTGGTTTGGATCGGAACTTGCACTGCGAAGGATTTGATCATTCACATACAAGTGCATGTTGTGGCCTTGGGTTCAGGAAATTATCTAGTCTTGTAAGGTCTTCAAAGGTAAATCCATAGTAGTTCGTCGGTCGGTGGTCGGTCCTCTCTTGTTCTGAATATTTTGCACATATTTTGAGTCAGAAGTTGCACGGCAAAAAGAAATAAAAAGCGATTTGTCAAATGGAGAACTGTTTGTAAGATAAGATGTGGGTAGGAATATTTTGCACAGATTTTGATTCAAAAGAAATAAAAAAGCGATTTGTCAAATGGAGAACTGTTTGTAAGATAAGATGTGGGTAGGAATATTTTGTACAGATTTTGATTCAAAAGAAATAAAAAAGCGATAGGTAAATATTGGTCTTATATGTATATATAGAGACGTTAACCAATTAGTACGCTGATGACTTTCTTGTGGAATTATTGGTCGCAAAACTGTATTAGGCATGTTAGGGGCAAAGTAGTCTTTTTCGCTATCGACTTAACACCATATAATAACAGCTGAAAACACATGGTAGTGTCAAACCGGAAACCAAATTTAAACCTAGTGTCATCAAATAGGAAAGATTAAACTTTCGAAGGCCAATAAAGAAAGAGGTAACTTTGCTGGTGTCGAATACAAGTTTTTCTCAGATGGAATGGAAGGGACCGCCGGGGCTGGCGAGCACAGCAGCAGCCACGAGAGTGAGCTCGCCGGTGTCTAAATATGGCATTTCTACAATCGCCTCAAGAAAAAATTTCAGGATGCGGGCTCTGAAGCTTCTCTAGGACCTGAGGGACTTAAAAAGCAGCTAATCCATTGTGTTCCTCGAGATCGGAACTGAAGTGGCAAAATCCTCATCTGCAATGGGCATCACGTGGAAAACGACAAAGCCGCAAAATCTAGAAGACGTGACTATGTTCTGTAGAACGGTGCTAACTTCGTCCAGCAGAATCAAGTGCTGTCGGTCCTGTTGGAAAGAAGACTCCAAATCCTACACCCTAGGAACTAAAACTCATATAGGAGTGTTTATTATTTTTTACCCAATAAAAACACCCATGCCAATGTCTAAACATGGCATTTCTACAATCGCCTCAAGAAAAAATTCCAAGCTGCGGGCATTGCTAATTCTAGTGATGTCGCTAAGAAATGCCAACACCGACACAGCCTGACACTCAGTGTGCGTACGACGCCCAGAGCTTCTTTGACTCCACGACATTGCCATGGTCCACAGAACGCCGCTGCAAGACCCTCCTGCACTCCGGCGCATGGAAATCATAGGCTCAACTCCCCCAAACCGCCATGTACCCGACCTATCTCAGAATATAAGGGAGAGGTCGGATCCTAAGAGGGAGGACGATCCTAGACAGATCATTCGCATCCTCACCATTTCACTCGAGCTCTGCACCAAGAGCAGAGCAACCTAAAGAGAGGCACCGAAGGCTCCTCCACCAGATCCGTCGTCTTCCTCCTCTCCAATGAGGGGAAAGGCTCCACCGGTGGCGAGACGTTCTTAGGATCAGCACCAAGCAATCCCCTATCAAATCTCTCTTTCTCCTTTACACTATGTTGTAACCTCCTAGATTTTAGGTGCTCTTGAGTATAAGGATTATCAGTTGCTGGACGTAGGGCATCCATTGGTCCGAACCCCTCTGTGATTCTTGTTGTCGGTGCGAAAAGTGACCAACACGTAAATATTTATAGTTTTGCTGTACGTTGTGATCGGATGTGGCCTAGCACTCAATGACACAGGGTTTATACTGGTTCAGGCAACGTGCCCTACGTCCAGTTTGAGTCGGTCGATGACTTTATTCCTGAGCCCAGGTGCTTGAAGTTTGCTGTGGGGTTACAAACGAGAGGGAGTAAGATGGGGGTATCAGAGGTCCGGAGTCCGAGGGAGTAAGATGGGGGGTATCAGAGGTCCGGTTGGACTCCGGACCGAAGGGCCAAGAGTGACGGGAGCCTCAACGTGCGCTAAGTGTTGCTCTGTTCGGCTTTAGAGTTCTAGAGCCGAGCAGAGAGAATCGGAATGATCCGTATGTTGTTCGTTGGAATTGTCTATGTGAATCGATCCTCTTGTTCGGATTGATCCTCTCTTTTGGAGAGAGCGCATCCCCTTTTATAGATGAAGGGGACGGCTTTACAAGAGAGAGTGTGAGAGAAAGGGAGTGCGTGTGTTTCCTAGTCTTGTTGCCCACGCCGTTGGGTACAAGGCGGTTTGTCGGCGCCCACAATACTGTTGATGGCCGGATGCATGTGGTTGGTTCCACCGTGCTCTTCTGGTATGGCAAATGTCGACACCTACCATACTGTAGGTCAAATGTCGGCGCCCACAACACTGTTGGTGTTCTGACATGTCTGGAAGGTTATAAAGTACCCTTCTGACATGACCTGACAGTACTGTCCTGCAAGTGTGTAGGGTACGGTCCTTGATTAAGGATGGCAACGGGTCGGATTCGGATCGGGCAAAGCCTCTGCGCACCCAAAATCGAAACCCAAATTGAAAACCCGAATGCGCCCCGAACACCATATCGGGTGGATATCCATCCCCAAAACTGAAATCCGCGGATCCCCGAAACCCGACGGATTATCCAAAACCCGAAACCTGCCTCCCCTGTTTAGGATGACGCAGAGTAGAGCAGAGGAGCTCGGTGGCCGGCCGATTCCGACGGCTGGGGCGACCTCCGTCGGAGGACGTGGGGCACTGCGACCTCGCCGGGTCCGCGCGCACCTATGGGTGGCGATGGCTTCGTCGGAGGCGGCTCAGGGCTCCCTGGCCATGCGCATCGGTGGCATGTGGCGGCGGCGCTTGTTGATTGCGCATGGGAGGTGCGACGAGGTGTAGGGAAGGCGGTGGCATAGTTGGCTTGGGTGGAGGACTGCCGGAGGCAAGGGGATTAGGCGGCGGGCGACGGGTGGATCGGGTGGGGTGCGGGTGACCGGGTGAGCGAGTGCTGCGAGTGTGAGGTGAGGCGGCTGTGCCGGCGGCCGGCCGCCCAACCCTGCTGATGAGCGGATCTGGTAGGGTGGGTGCCTGGGCGGGTGGCACCGGCCCCTGCTCATCTACACTGTGCTCTGCTGGTGCAGGCGGGCGATGCAGATGGGTGGACATTGCAAGGACGACGGATCGGGTGGGGTGAGCGAGAGGCCAAGAGGGTCAGATAGGATTTTGGGGCTCCATTGGTGATCCACGGGGGAAAATGAGGATCCACCCCAAACCCGCAACCGTTCGGGTATCCAAACCCAAAAACCGTGGGTGCAAAACTGTCCCCGAAACCAAAACCACTAGACCCGAAACCCGAGCATATCCTCCCCAAACCCGCCCTGCTGCCATCCTTATCCTTGATATTGTGGTTCACTAGAGCACCCTGCCTTACTTGCTCTGTCCGTTTCCTGGGTCTTCACCGAGCGGGCGTCCCCGGTCGGTAGTTCCCTAGTCGGCTCCGGCCTCTCGGTCGGAGAAGAGTTGTAAGCAGAGGTTCGATGTACTCCTGGTTGGAGAGGCGGGTCAGAGTCAGAGGCGAGCACCGATCCTCCTTGGCTAGGCCTTCCAGTCGGAGAGGCGGGCCAGAGTCAGAGGCGGGCGCCGTTCCTCCTTGGCCAGGCCTTCCGGTCGGATAGGCGGCCCAGAGTCGAGGCGGGCATCGTTCCTCCTTGGCCTGGCCTTCAAGTCGAAGAGGCGGGCTAGAGTCGGAGACGGGCCCCATTCCTCCTTGGCCAGGCCTTTCGGTCGGAGAGGCCGGCCGAAGTCAGAAGCGGGCGCCGTTCCTCCTTGGCCAGGCCTCCCGGTCGGAGAGGAGGGCCGAGTCAGAAGTGATGGAAGCGAGCGCCATTCCTCCTTGGCCAGGCCTTCTGGTTGGAGACTAGATCACCCTTCTACATGTCGTTAGGTTTTTGGGCCGTCCTAGGAGTTGCACGTCGTTCGCTGGGCCGAGCTTTTGCTGGGAAGCAGGTACATGAGGGACCCTGGGTTTATGAACCCGTTAGGAGCCCCTAAGCCCCCAGGCGATTTGGGTAGAATCATCTGGGGGATTTTTCATCTTGACGGTGGGTGCGCTCACCCGCGGGTCTAACCCTCGAGCCCCCAGGCGATTCGGGTAGAATCGTCTGGGGTTTTTTTCGTTTTGCCAGCGGGGGAATTTTTGTTTTGACAGCGGGTGCGCACGAGCGCACCCGCGAGTGTAGCCCTTGAGCCTACATCTGACTAATGAGTCAGTTGGTGGCTGAGTATCTTGGTACTCTTTCCTGGGGCTGCAGACTGCTGTTCGGGGTGTTCGCCCGTGTTTGTCCCGCTCGCGACCTGCGCGGTCGGTTGATTTTCCGAGTCGATGTTGGGTGACCTGAGCCCCTGAGCCCCATTGGGTTTGGTAGGGGTTGGTCTAGTTCCATGCGTTACCCCGTCTGTAGTTTCCACAACCAGAGGGGCTGAGCTAACATTACTTGCCTCGATGGCTCAAGCGACGCACTCGGTGAGCTCGCTAACGGGCACGTTCAAGTGGAATCTGGGTCCATCGTTCATGACGGAGTCGGCATAGCCCTCATGTGGCATTCCACTGCTCCTTAACCCGCATCCTGGCAGATGTCTGGGTCATTCTAGAGATCGACCCAGGTGGCCCGCTGGCCTTCCCTCGATGGAGATTCTGTGGGCATGGCTTGAGGTTAGGATCGAACGAGAAGGTTGAGATGATCATGT